GCGATCCCACAAAGGTGCACGCCACTGTCTTAGCAGACACTTTGTTTAATGTTCTTTTGGGAAACGTTTACTTCTCTGGCGTTTTAGCTGGCGGTGACATGGTGGAAAGGGCTCCACATAGATTAGGCGTTTCTCTCTGCCTGGCAGTGTTTGGGCACCCGGTGTTCTTATCTCACTTAATCCTCTCAGCATCCTTGAGCAACGCAATAGGAATTATTATCCCCACCTTATCAACCAGGAATCCACATATCAGAGGGGTGACTTCTGCAGTCACACGGCTGGGATTCAACCCACTGACTCACTGCACACCTGCCACCTTCCTTCCGTGTACCATGCAGTTCACCTGCCCTAAAGGTGCATTCGCTGAATTGTACTTCTAGCATCGAAGTTCTGCACTTTAAGACCCTACACCCCGGCTGGGTCTGCAGTGGGGCCTGGGGGTTCCCTGTTGTTGACAGCTTGAACTGTTTTTACGCAGCCATGAAACACAGCTGGGAAGGGAGGCAGAGGGGAGGGTGTCTGCCAGCTGCTCAGCTGATGCCTTTGTGGGTAGAGTAGGTAGCAGTCAGCTCCAGAAAGGTGCTTGTCCCTGGTGAGGAGCATGTCACCAGTGGCTCCAGGTGCCTGGCTCCCAGGCCCTTCCTGATGGTTTGAGCCTGTGATCGGGGCTTCCCTGTTCAGGTCTGTTCCGCAGTCAGCGTCCAGAGCGAAGTTCCTCATGGTGTGGTCTGGGCACCACCTGCTGCAGGACCCCCTGGGAGCTCGATAAATCATTGCAAGTCTGGGATTCTGCTGAATTAGAATCTCTAGAGATGGTGTCCAGAATTCTGTCTTTTTTAAAAATCAAGCTTTGGGGCAATTCTTGTGCATATGAAGTTTGAGGTCTGGTTGTTCTGGAGGAGAGATTATTAACTCTGGCCATGAACCAGAACAACCCGGGGAGCTCTTTAATTGAGCATCGCTGCTTGGGTCCCATCCCTTAGCGCAGTGTCTCAACCTTCCTAATGCCGCGACCCTTTAATACAGTTCCTCATGTTGTGGTGACCCCCAATTTCATTGTTACAAATGGAACATAATTAAAGCATAGTGATTAATCACAAAAACAATATGTAATTATATATGTGTTTTCCGATGGTCTTAGGCGACCCCTGTGAAAGGGTCGTTCGACCCCCAAAGGGGTCGCGACCCACAGGTTGAGAACCACTGCCTTAGCGGCTCTGATTGAATTGATTACACTCAGGTATTGCTCTTAAAAACAAACAAAATCTCCCTCAGTGTTTCTGATGTGTGGCCACGGTTGAGGGATATTGTTTCAAAGCACTGGTTCTGGAAGTGTGATGCCAGGCCTGCGGCATCAGCCATGCCAGGAAATTTGCTGGAACTGCAAAATCCTGAGGCTCGAGGCCTGCCCCAGACCAGCTCCAGCTCAGTGAGGACTGCTGGGGGTGGGGCCCAGCAGATCTGTATACAGGGCTTACAGTTGTTCGTATGGAGAAAGATGCAGGATGTAGCTTTATTCACACAAAACAATGTTACTCACAACTGTAAACCTACTTTTGCCCACCCCTGCATTAACAAGCCCTCCGGGTGATTTTGAAGCACCATAACGTTTAAGAGCCACTGTTGTGGAGTCGTCATTCCCAATCCTGGCTGCACATTAGAATCCCCCAGGAGGGCTTTTGAGCGTCCCAATGCCCGGGCCCCGCCCCAAACCAGCTACATTCGAGTCTCAGACTGGGACTTGGGCATCAGTATCTGTTCAGGTTTCTGAGTCATTGCAAGTGCCCCAGCCAGGGTTGAGACCCACTGTCTGAGCCAGTGAGGACAGTCTTCCCTCAAAGCAGCTGCCAGCACTGGGATCCTGGGTGAGACATGGTGCCTTAGCTGCAGGTGCAGCACAGCGTGGAGGCGAGGGTCTGCGGGACTAAGGATTACTCAGCTCTAAATGACAGTATGTGATGAGGGAGGACGAAGGAGACAGCAAAGTTGCTTTTCAAAGAACCCAGGATCAAGTGGGCACGGAACTCGGCTCTCACGTAAACTAGCCTGCACGGAGGTCCTTCAGGCAGAGCTTACCATCCCCTGTTTTATAGACGAGGGAACTGAACTCCAGAAAGGCCCACCAGCTGGGAAGCCAGCACGAGGACTGAGTCCCAGTCACTGGACCGCATATAACACATCCTCCTTCAGGGTCCCCTTGCCAGTTCCCCAAATTCTGGCTCCTTCAAGTGTTGTTTGATGTCTCACCTGTGACGTTTTGTTGTGTTTGCCTTTCTGTTTGGAACAGATAAAAAATAACGAACCTTTGATCAACGTGCTTTACAGAGTGCTGAAGAAGTCAGCACAGGGCTGGCGGCCCAGGAGACGCGTAAGATGATCTGACCTGTGTCTCCAGGCGGGGCCATTCCATGCTTCTGGCTCAGTGCCTATTCCATCACGTGCTTAACCAGGAGCTCTCCTGGCCACCCCAGGAGATTTAAACATTGCTAACACAAATTTGCTTTCTCTTAAGCTCCCGTCAGCGTGTTGGCTGGTGCACCAGGCTGAGCCTCTCATCCGTACTGTCCTGTGATTCCATCTTTTGTGCTGCCACAGGGTGGCGGGGTGGGGGCGGGGCTCGCCCAGCTTTGCTTCCAGCTGTGTCATGTCCCATTCTCCCTCATCTGCCGCCACAGCGAGGCCTGGCCTAGACAGAGACCAGCATGGCCTGGGTAGTCGAGCGTGAGCCTTGGGAGGGAGCGGTTGTTCCTGGTCATCGTGGAGGAGCTGGGTGTCCTTGGGTCCCACCGTGGACCTGCATTAAATTAAGGTGGCTCTTCTTCGGGGCCGGGTGCTGATGTCTGGAGCTGGACTAGAACAAAATAGGACCTCCCACCCCTTGCTTTGACCGATGGAGAAGTAGCGCCTGGAACACGGCCAGCTTTTGTCGCTTTCAAGGGAGGGTGCGGGTTGTGAGGCAGTTGCTACTCCTGGTCATCCTGAGCCCTGAGAAGGGGTGTCCTGGGAGGTGGTGGAGGGGAGTAGGAGGGCTGGGTCACCTTCAGTGCCTTTCTGATGCAGAGACCATTTGAACTGACACTTGATGTTGTCAGTGGATTTAAACATTGCTAACACAAAGAACAGTTTTAAAAGGGGAAGTAGATGTCATACACTTCTTGTGGATATTTCATAGTCGTCTCGGCTCTCTGGGACAGCTAAATTCAGAAGCTTCAAGGGCCTCTGAGCTGTGTGGACGCGATCACAAAGCCCAGCTCTAAAACCTGTGGCCTTTACTCAGGGCTTAGGCCCTGAGGACAGCCAGCTCACAGACTCACTAAGCAAACATTTCCCAAATATCCTCAGTATGATGGGCCCTGGCTGGGCTTTGAGGATGCAGAGAAAGTAGGTCACAGTCTGACAGTCACCCCTAATTGGGTTAGTTCCTAGTGAGGGGAGACAGAACGTTTCATCTGATGTACTAAGGCCCTTGTTGTGGGAGACACAGGTGTGGGAGCATCTCCCTAGAAGGGCACCAAACAGCTACAGAGAGGGAGACGGGAAAACAGCAAGAATGTCACCTGCATTGAATTTCTAATCCTAAGAGACTCAGCCTGAGTTTGAATTCCTAACTCATAGCACCTTAAGAGCAGCACATTGAAAGGGCATACGGGAAAGTTACTTTTTTGAAAAGAAGGAGTGCTAATACCCCAAGAGAGAAAAAGAAACATTACATGTCCATCTAAAATGGACATGAAATCACAGAAATTTGGGAGTACTTAATCAAGGGCCAATAGCTTCTAAGAAATTCTATATTACTGATTTTTTATAATGATTGACTCATCCCCCCATAAACGGTTGAATGAATATATATATATGTATTTTCATCATTCTGTGATGGCAGTGAAGGGCATACTTTTCGTTAGCACTCCACCAAAAAAAATTGAAAAGGTTCGGCTTTCTCAAAATGCCCTTGTTGTGTAGAATCCCTCACTTAATTCCTGGTGGTGCTGGATAAACGAGGCATCACTCAATTAGATTCTCTGCCTCGCTATTTCAGTATCGAAAAGATCTCATCTGTAAAAAGCTTCAGTGATAAACGGGGAAGAGTTTTGCCGGGAGGAAAAGTCCCCAAAGCATATCTCATTTTGAACATGATTTCTTCCTGGGAAATGAGCCGAGTGTCAGCCCCGTAGAGGGTAGGCAAGCTCTGCCCTCTGCTTTGATGAAGGACTGTGCACAGAGTGAAGACTCCACTGCGTTCACCTGCTGGGTTCCCCTGAGTTTAAAGGCCCAAGTCCTACCTGGGAAGTTCAGCTGTTTGTGGCTCACCAGGATTAATTCCACCGCCTCCCTCTCCCCTTCTGCCTGTTTGTTTGTGGATTGTTGCTGGAGTCAGTGTGTTCCGTGACTGTGTGTATATGTGTATGTACACATCATCTGTCAGTTTGAAGAGCAGAATTTGGCTGGAGTTCCATTTTTTTCCAGGAACTCGACAGCACTGACTTACCAGTATTACCCTTTGACCTACTTGCAGTGCAAGGAGCCTTTGTCAAGTGCCCTTCAGTGCCAGGCCTGGTGTTCAGGGCTGACTTTACTGAGATAAATAAGACAGTGGCCCCTGCCCTCTACTGTGTGGCCAAAGGGAGCCTGGGAATGGGTGGGGGCGGGTCTGCAGCCAGACTCAGTCCTCAGGCCAAGGCATGGATGGAGAAGGCATTCTCCTTTGACCTTGACCTTTGCTGATAATGATTGTCAAGGAGAGGGAGTATAGAACAATTGGACACATGGGGTGGGGGGGGGGGCTTGAGTTCTGAAGGAAATGCTTGCCAATATATTTCTACTTCTGATTCACATTCACAAACTTAGTGGACCTCCCAGATGGAGTAGGGAGAAAGCAAGGGCCAAAACACTGGGACACAACACCACCTATCTTGGCCACTGGGCGGTTCCTGCCCATGGCTTGGCCATAGGGGGAGGGCATCTGTGTAAATCGCCTCTCTTCCCCCTGCACAGCTTTTGGCAAGAAATGATATTTAAGGAAATGAAAACATAGGCTAAAGAGTTAGGTTTAGCTTCGTAGGGGTCAGAGAGGGATGGGAAACTTGTTGCGCACGTTGGGTCAAGGGGGGGGATGGGAAATGTGAAATTCCACCTGCCCATAAGTTTGGGTGATTTTTATTTATTGCTTTGTGGCTTCCTGTCTTGAGAGGACGGGGTAATATACAAGTACGGCCCAACATCAGTTATTTCAGGATCGCTTGAAAGCCCCAACCAGGAATTACCCAGATTCCTTCTTCCCTTGGCCAGGTCCTCTTCCCAGATCGTTAGAGTCGGGAAGGCTGACCTTACTCACGGGGAGGTGGGCTACCCAGACACTGCCTGAAACTAAGGCTTGACATTGTCCCGGGGATTTGTTCGTTCCTCCTGGTCCACCCACCCCACTGCCCTGGACTTCAGGCACTAGTGTTTGACTCCAGATTCAGTAGGAAAACTCTCTTATCAGTGACAAATCTTCCAAGATTCATACTGATTTTGAGCAAATAGAAACTGCTGTAGTTGACGATGCTATAATTTGAATATCTGTGTTCCCTTTAGTTTGAGAAATTTACAAGTGCTACTAGAATCTTTTTTTTTCCATTTTTTTTTTATTATTAGTTAAGGTATTACAAATGTGTCCTTATCCCCCCCATTAACCCGCAGCCTCCCCCCGCACACACCCTCATGCTCCCATCCCCCTGTCGTCCATGTCCATTGGTTTGGCTTATATACATGTAAACAAGTCCTTCGGTTGATCTCTTCCCCTTACCCCCGCCCTCCCCTACTTCCCTTCTGGGGATTGATAGCCTGATCGCTGTTTCTCAGTCTTTGGGTCTGTCCCTTTTCATCAGTCTATTTTGTTCTCTATAATTCACAAATGAGTGAGATCATGTGGTATTTATCTTTCTCTGACTGGCTTATTTCACTAAGCATACTGTTCTCCACAGAGGCTGCAGCAGTCTGCATTTCCACCAGCAGTGCAGAAGGGGTCCTTTTTCTCCGCATCCTCTCCAACACTTGTTGTTTGTTGATTTGTTGATGATAGCCATTCTGACAGGTGTGAGATGATAACGCATTGTTGTTTTGATTTGCATCTCTCGTATAATTAGTGACTTTGAGCAGGTTTTCATATGCCTTTCGGCCTTCTGTATGTCCTCTTTTGAAAAGTGTCTATCTAGGTCCGTTGCCCATTTTTTTATTGGATTGTTTATCTTCCTTTTGTTAAGTTTCATGAATTCCCTGTAAATGTTGGAAATTAACCCCTTATCGGTGGTATCATTGGCAAATATGTTCGCTACTAGAATCTTGAAAAGGTTTCAGTTTTTTCCTAAAATGAAATGGGCTGAAAATGAAGCAGATATTGCCTCAGTTTTGCCTTTCCTGCGCTATGACCCTGCCTGCCGCTGCCAAGACTTCCACACCCATCCATCGCGGGGCTCACTTTCCTTCCGGAGTTTGGATCCCAACCCTGTGGTTAAATCTCCTTCACCTTGTTCACCTCGCAGATGACAGGCCGGGACCTTCTCAAGGATCGAAGCCTGAAACCAGTGAAGATTGCCGAGAGCGACATTGACGTGAGTGAACTGAGTGGTCGCTGCCCGCTCGCTCCGTCGGCTGCCTGCTGTCCCCAGCCCCGGGTGGGCAGCTTCAGGAGGGTTTGGAGGGTTCTGTAGCCGGAGGCTTCCTGTTTACACTCCAAGGCCATGCCCTTTCCTCATCATCCCAGGCCCTCTCCAACCTGTTCTTGCTCACAGGTCAAACTGAGCATCTTCTGTGAACAAGACAGGATCCTCCAGGACTTGGAAGACAAGATACGTGCCCTCAAGGAGAACAAAGTATGTATCAGTTTTGCATAATCTTAGGCTGGGTGGGGTAGGAGGTTTGTCTTTTCACAGTCATAGACAGGATGGTATCGAACAACCGGTGTTAGTTTATTCAGAACAATGTCTTTGGGTTTAAAGAGTGTTTCTTGGGGGAGGAGGGCGGTTCTTTCTGAACGTTGAGGAAATCTGATAGCAGTGGTTCTCAACCTGTGGGCCGCGACCCCTTTGGGAGTTGAATGACCCTTTCACAGGGGTCGCCTAAGACCATCGGAAAACACATATATAATTACATATTGTTTTTGTGATTAATCACTATGCTTTAATTATGTTCAATTTGTAACAATGAAAATACATCCTGCATATCAGATATTTACATTACGATTCATAACAGTAGCAAAATTACAGTTATGAAGTAGCAACGAAAATAATTTTATGGTTGGGGGTCACCACAACATGAGGAACTATATTGAAGGGTCGCAGCATTAGGAAGGTTAAGAACCACAGCCTTATAGGGAGACCTTGACCTAATACCACTGCCCTCCTCCTCCTACCCCTTAATTCTGCTCTGGCCCACCTCTCCCTGGAGGCCTGGTGAGGTGAGCCTGGAAGAGGAGGGCCCCCTAGGATCTGGGCTATGGAGGAAACAGTCTGGATGGAAGGGCAGAAATGGGCCGGGCAGAGTTGGGGGGCACCAATGTTTGGTCTCTTAGACACTTAATGTGAATTTTTTTCTTCGTTGCGTTTTGTCAAGGTGTTATATTTGTGATGTTGAAGGTTTATAACATGGCCTTTGTCCTAAGACCTTAAAGAGTTTTCCTGGACTCTGATTTATCCTCATCATTGATTCCATAAGGAGTTGGTAGCCTTGTGCCCATTTTGTACACAAGGGAACTGAGGCACATAGCTGTTAGGTGACTTGCCCAGCCCACCCAGTGGACAGAGTCAGAGCAGGATTCAGAGACCCTGACCCTCAGGCCCCAGCTGGACACTGGCCCTCAGTCAACGATTAGGTCTTGCCATTCTGTTTAGTTTCTGGTGTGTGTGGGAGGCCTCCAGGGACTGTCCTTTATGACCTTGCTCTTTGACCCTCGCCCGGTAGGACCAGCTGGAGTCCGTGCTGGAGGTGCTGCACAGACAGATGGAGCAGTACCGAGACCAGCCCCAGCACCTGGACAAGATCGCCTGTCAGCAGAGGTTGCTGCAGGAGGACCTGGTCCACATCCGGGCGGAGCTCTCCAGAGAGTCCACTGTGCGTAGAGGCTGTGGCAGGCGGCGCGCACTTCCCTCAGGCTGGGCTGGGCAGAGGGGCTGCTCTTCTCATCTCCCCAGCTGTAACTGAATTGGCGGCCAGGGGCAAGAGTCTTGGGGTAGCAGGCTGCCTCCTGGCAGTAGCTTACCCTGTCCAGGGGTGATGTGTCCAAGGTGCCTTAGGGTCCTTTCCATCAGCGACTCCTGCATGACTACAGTGACACCCAGGGGGCCAGATTTCTCAGAGCAGCCTGTAGGCTTTTCCCTGATCTGCGTTAATTCTAAGATGTCAGAATTTCCACTTGACCTATCCATCTGATGTGGTGCAGGCCCCTTTCTTCCAGGCCTGGGAACCAAAGTGTTCCCAAGGGTGGAGGAGGGGACAGGGCAGATGGCCAGGGTCAGAGCGTGAGTGAGAAGATAACCCATGTCTCTCTCACAAGTCCCACCAGACCTGCAGGGCTCTCTTCCTCTGCCCCTGGGGGGGCCGGCTGTGGTCAGGAGCACAGGTGGGCATGGGCTTCTGGGGGCAAGGATAGCTAGGACCCGGAGCGTTTCCTTGGCCAACAGGAGATGGAAAACGCCTGGAACGAATACCTGAAGCTGGAGAGCGACGTGGCGCAGCTGAAGCAGACCCTGCAGGAGCAGCACCGAAGGGCCTTCTTTTTCCAGGTGGCTCAAGGGCTCTCCCCCCGTCCTGGGCTCTGATTCCTTGGGGGAGCCCCACCCTGGGCCTTCTCTCCTCTACCGGGGCTCAGCCTGCTCACCTCCCCAAGGTTTCCCTCTGGGATCCTTCCCCCAGCAAGGCTGTGATGCCCTGCCTCCCCACAGTTCCCACCTCTCTGCTTTTAGACACATTCTGGGGCGTGTTTATAAGGGTTTTACATTTGGAAAAACAGCCCCAAGAGGAGACAAATGCCAACCTTGAGACCCTCGCAGAGACCCTAGAGCAGTGGTTCTTAACCTTGGCTGCACATTAGAATCACCTGGGAATCTTTTTAAAATCCTGATTGCTGGGCCTCATCTGTTGGTTCTTGGCCCATCTTGGCTCCTGTCTATTCACTGAGACAGCAGCGGACAGCCCCGCCCCCTTCCTTCCAGCCTCTGATTGCTGAAGATAGATGCTATCGAGCCTTCACCTGAGGAGGTAGTGTGAATCCAGGAGGTGCCAGGCTAGGAGATACCCATCGCCGTGGCCCCTGCCCTCCTCAGGAAAGGCAGCCTCAGGGCCCAGCGTCCTCTATCCTTAAAAACCAGGCCACCTGTTGGCAACTGCCTCGCCCCCAAAGGTGAGGGAAGAAAGGCCCTGTGTGGTTTCCTTCCTCCCGGTCCAGTCCTCAGATGCCCAGCGTTTGTTCCCTCACTGTGGTGCCCAACCAGGTGCCACCCTCAACATTTTAAAAATGGAAAGTAACCTGCTTTTGAACCCAGCTTCAGGTCTCTATCTCCTCTTTCAGGCCCCGTGGATTTGATTTTGAGTTCAGCGAGCGTTAATTCAGCTAGGCCAGTTTTGGTGCTTGGCTTACTCATGGATGCACTAGTTCTAGCCAAGGCTTCTCACTCAAGTGATTTAATGAGTATGCTGACTCTCCTGACATCAGCCTCACCCCAAAAAGAGATGGAAATTCAGGACTGGGAGGCTTTTCCCAGGTCCTGCTGTCCCCCCACTGACCACTGGGCACAGGGTCTAGAGAGCCCAATCCAGGGCCACGTGGAGACTCTTGCCTGTGGCTCAGGACAGGCCTGCTCGGTCCCCAGCTTGTCTGTCTCCTGCTGCTGCTGTATTTTTCCTATAATGTCCCTTCATCCAAGCTGACTAACATTCTCCCATTCTGTTTTGTATCCCCAGCACTTAGCACAGTGGCATGAAAATGCTAGGTGACTATTGACAAAGTCCTTCACACGATTGTTTGTAATTACTAGTTTCTTAAACTGTCCTGTCCTGTTATACACATCTTCTTGGGCTTCAATGAGCCACATTAATTTTAGCAGTAATTTTTTTAGCTTCTTATTCCTTATATTTCTATGATTGTACAAATCACATGGGAACACGTCTCTCAGAAAAGTCCAAACAATGAGAAGCAAAACCAAAAAATAAAAGCTTCTCTTCCCTCTGCCCTAGACCACCACCTCCCTTGTGGGTAATGAGTGCCTCCAGTTTGCAAAGTCGCCTTCTAACCATTTTCTTTGCATTTCCAAACATGTGCACATACAGAGTTATTTAATTTATTTGAGGGTGACTGTTTATTTAAAGAGGAATCATTCTAACATCTTGTCCAGTAACTCACTTTTTTGTCATAACTTTATGTGGTGGCAACCTTTCTAGGAAAGATACCCCCAAGTTTATGCTGCCCAATACAGTAGCTACCTAAATTTAAACATAACTGAATTAAAATTAACATTAAAAATTTATTCCTCAGTCACACTAGAATCATTTCCACTGCTCAGTAGCCACACGTGGCCAGTGGCTGCTATATTGGACAGCACAGATAGATTTCCGTAACCTCAGAAAGTTGTACGAAACATTGTTGGTCTAATTCAGCGATTTTCAAAAGGTATGCCATAAGAATTTTTAAAACATGCGACACTGACTAATTTAGTCAATGGCACTGACCTCTTTTCCCTTAGATTGTCAAATGAAAAAATGACAACGGCCAACACAACAATAGCTGTCTAGTGTGAGTGAATCTAAATTATACCTATTTTTTTTGTCAGATCGGCAAAATATATATATTTTGTTGTGCCGCAGAATTTTAGTAATTAGTTTATGTGTGCCACGAGATGAAAAAGGTTGAAAATCACTGGTCTAAGTGAAATTAAATTAGTTCTTCATGGCTGCATAGAATGTTGTAGTCTGGACAGTTCCTCCTTTGCTTAGCCATTCCTCCTCTGAGGGACATTGAATGTTATTGGCCGTGTTTTGTTTTTAGAAAAGTGAGCATCTGTGTCACTGCCTTTTCAAGCTCCATTATGAGCGTTCATCTAAGGCAGGTCCCTAGGAGCAGACTCTGGGTTGAAAAGAGTGTACATCTTCGTGTGGCTGGACGCTGCCGGATCGCTCTCTAAAAGGCTGTTCTCATTTGCCCTCCCACCCACATGAATGAAAGTACAGAACCCGTCTACCCACATCCTTGCCAGCACTTGATGTTATCACTCTTTTTAGTTTTTGCCAGTCTACTTGCTGAAAAAGGACATCTTGTTTTAATTTGCATTTATTTACTTACCTCGTAGGTTAAACATCTCTTCATGTGATTATGGGCCAATTGTATTTTTACTGTAGAAATTTCATGGTGGCGTAACGTAGGGCAGGCCCAGAAACCTTCTTTCCCCTCCACAACACAAATGGGTACAATGTACAGGTCTTGTCACAGACTCCCCAGTAAGTGACTGAAACATAGGCCGGTTTGGAGCCTGGTCCCTGCTGCTCGATATGCATCTACCTTGTGGCCCTGCTCACACTTTCCCTGATACCTCAGTGACCGGAAGCTCACAAAGCCCTTCTTTGAGCAAACTCTGTGTTCACTTTGGTGTATTCAAGGCCAGGCAAGCTGTTGAATAGAGTCCTGAATAAATCATTAACACTGGAGATACACACATTCTCAGTAGTGGGCCTGGAAGCTCGCCTCCCTTTAGCCAGGTTTGGCTATGAGAAAATCCATAGCCTTTTTATTGCAGACTAGAGGCCCAGTGCACAAAATTCGTGCACAGGGGGAAGGGGTCCCCTCAGCCCAGCCTACACCCTCTCCAATCTGGGACCCCTCGGGGACATCCTTCTCATAATCCTGTACCGCTGGCTCCTAACCACTCACCTGCCTGCTGGCCTGATCACCCCCCTCACTGATCCCCCCCCCATCCCCTGCCGGCCTGATTCCCCCTCACTACCCTCCCTGCTGGCCTGGTCGCCCCACGCAGCCTACTGTTTGGTTGTCCGTCAGTTGTTTTCGGTCGTGACGGCCCCTGGCTTTTTATATATATTAGGATGAGTGGCTTTATTTATAAAGATTTTAATGGCCACCTGGGTGGGGAAGCCAGAGGATCAAAGAGCATCTGGGTAACCGTGAGCGGCGAGGCTCCCTGTAGGTGTCCAATGAGTCAAGCCTTTGCTGAATGTAGTACACAGCAGCCATCCTGCCCAGCCTGGCATGAGGATGCAGGAATGAAACCCCACTGCCTTGCTCCCCAAAAGCTTCCTTTGCCTCGTCATTAAGTTCTGAAATTCCATCGCCCTTGGAGAAAGATAGAGGTTCTCTGGCCTGCGCTCCTCTCTGCTCTTCTCTTACGGGTGGGGTGACAAGGGCAAAGTGGGGGCAGGGTTGCAAACTACTGGCAGGAGAAGTGTACCAGGGAGACTGCCAGGGGAGGGGGGAGTTGATTCTAATCCCATGCTCCCCCTTCACCTGCTGCCAGTTCTCTGCCTGGGGGCCTTGGCTCTAGAGATAACCCTGTTAGCTTGTACCCACACTCTGGGCTCACATGTCTGCTTTAGGACACTTGTGCTTCAGTGAGGAGCCAAGCCGCAAGTTCATTATTGGCTTGTCTGCCTGAGGATGTGCGTTGGTGTATTAAAGGTGGGGAGAGTGTGAGCTGCTAGGAGGGAGGCCTTGGATGTCTGTTGTCACGGCTGTTGGACAGTATTTGACCAGGGACTTTATGTGATTGGTCCTTTATCATTCAACATACATGTACTAAGAATCTGCTGAGAACTTGCCTCTTGGGGGTGGATCGGGGAGCACATTGTCTACTTGTAGAATCAGACATGGCCATAAGCATGGCGCATGCGGGAACTCTTCTGGCTGAGTGTGGCCGGGGATGTGAAACTTTCTGTCCTCCCCCATGGTAATTTAAAAGCTGAAAGAATAGTCTATTTGATGTTTAAACAACTCTATTGAAAGATGCCCACCATCCCTTAACCACTATAGACCCCACTCACGTCTTTCTAGGGCCTCTTCCCAGCCGGTTTTGGTTGTGACTTGTCAAGTGTGCCTATGGTCCTATAGCCTGGCTCTTTCCCAATTCTTTAAAAAACAACATTTTGCCATAGCTGGTTTGGCTCAGTGATGGAGTGTTGGCCTCCAACTGAATGGTTCTGGGTTTGATTCCGGTCAAGGGCATGTGCCTAGTTACAGGCTTAATCCCTGGCCCGTCGAGGCTTATGCGGCAGGCAGCCAGTCTTTCTTTC